GAAGTGTATCGCTTGATACCTTTGATTAGTTTTGTTCATGCTAGACACGAACAGATTTGTGTATTTAAAGACTGCCTGTTTCCTCAATAGAAAAGGCAGACTTCAACAGACAGTATTTCAATATACTTGGTTGAACTGTTATCTCTTTGTTTCTCAGTACACCCTTGAAGCCTCCTTTAGTTCTTGACTCTCGCCTCCTCTCTGGTAGAACAGGCCACCTGCCAACTATTGTTCCATTTACTGATAACGTGATTAGCATCTTGCGAACAAGTTACAGTGTGTGCAGAAGGCTTAGGAGAACGGGAAGATATTGAAGAGTCTTTGGGAGAGTCTGTTGTTTGTTCTTTCTTTTGTTAGTATAAGGACTGCCCAGAGGGGATAGGAGATGGGTGTGGGAGATATGAAAGATCTGGATGTGAAAGGGCAGTAGAATGGATGGAATATGTGTTCTTTGTTGTTTATTTATACTCCTGTCTTTTCCTGTTAGTTTAGAGTTGTTGAGCAAGCAAGTTGATGAGTGGGTTGTTAGGGAGAGAAAGAATCAGAGAGAGAAAATTTTTCATACCCCTTTTTAGTTGAGTGCCACCTGAAAGCCTTGGCATTTTGTTTCGGCCGAATGATCATCTGTGACGGTAGACCTACCCCCCCTCTCATGACGGTGATTGTTAATTTACTACTCCAGACATTCATCATTTTTATTAGGGGGGGAGCACACGCCTCTGACGTTTGGTCCGAGGGGGCCGGATTAGCTGGCCCGACCTATCACAAGTCTGGACCTGCTTCCAATAATGGGCTCATATGGCAACCGAGTTCTCTGAAATATTCGTACATTATCATGAGATGAATTACACTTCAGATAGTGAACAGGATGGAGTGCTCGCCATTGGTTTTCCTGCATGATATCGTACCTTAGGAATTAGCCAAAAACCCCAGCTGTATTGAACAAGGGCTCTCCGTCATAAATTATCACTCACTGATTCGCTGAGTAGAAGACCCTGCTACTAATTAAGAACCGTATGATATCCTGAAATTCATCACTTGGAAGATCCAATCCATGGGAGTATTGTCTAAAATGAGCCTCAACATTGCGAGGGAGCTTCATCCGTGCTGCCTAAGCCAAAAGAAAAAGCACTTGGGCAGAGAAACTTGGTTTAAGATTCCCCGTCTTTGGACCTGAGAGCAATGCCAGATATTGGCAATCAAGATGCACCTGGGACTAGATCTCCAGTAATATTTACCCCTTGATCCATAATATACTGCTCTCTACTGGAATGGTTCTCTAAAGAATGGTTCTCTAAACACGGGGCACCTCCGGCCGGGGAGCAAAGGAGGAAATAAAAACGGAGAAACGGAGAAACAGGAGGGAGATGAATAAACCAACAGATCCATATCCTAAACCATTCTTCATAAATCTTACCCGCCCAGCTAGAATCTCTGGTACCAGTACGGGGTTCCCTCTGTGAGGCAATACCGTGTGCATCAGGAGATTGGCCAAGAGTTGGATGGGGTGAGAGAGACAGTAACAGGGTCTGGTATTGTCATGAAAGTGTCGTATATATCACTAGAAGGGTTTAAGGAAGCTTGACCATCCTAGGTCCTTTGCCTGCGGTCGAAGTAGAGATATGCAACAGATACTTGTGTCCACTAGTCTCACCGTATAACTTGATATCTAGCGCTTGGGAATAAATCCAATGAGCATTAACAATACTTGCCATTTCTCAAAGCATGCCTCACCCGCCTCGCGACTTCGGGGTCCGGCAAAATACAGATATATTTCTACTACGATAGCCCTTTACAAAACTCAAACGTCACAAGGGCCCAGCTTTCTGACCTCGAGTGACCCCCTCCTCCCCTCCTAGTGTATTGTTTTTCTGGCTTTTCATCGCTCGACGATCTGCTGAGCTTAGCATTCTGAGACTATAGTTTCTGTGGCGATCCGGCCGTAATAATTTCCTTCCGCATACTGATTGATAACAGAAATCCGCTCAGGTTCTGTAGCTTGCTGGGTTTCATCGATTAGCATATTGTGGAGGTTCATAATACTCAGAAAGTTGTTAAAGAGTGTGGAATTTCTGGCGTGCGTCCTGCTACCACCTGCATGGGGTTGTATTACTAAAATTTACAATATTATGTTTTTTTTTGAAAATAGTATATATTTTCTCATTCTGAATTAATGCTTCAGGCTCATCTATATATCGTATACATTACTACGTCTAGGACATATTTATATTGTTTTATTAAGCTTTTATGATAAAAATTAGGGATTATACATGTATTTTCCAGAATCAATACTTCCTACAACACCTCTTCCCAAAAACCATATTTGAGGTATCATATTGTGCAATGTATTACCACCCAATGTGGTTCACACATGGGCAAGTACATGTTCAATAACTATTATGATACTTGGGGAAATAGAGCAGGAATAATTAAAAGGCTATGTTTCCCATTCATTTTATACCAAAAAGAGACATTTTCACCGTAAAACCTCAGTCATGTCACTCTACAACGAACTGGGGATTCTGCTGGAACCTTTAGGACTGCCTAGATATTTCCATCCCTGCACGACAGGCTCTGTTGGTGAATGTCCGCTATGCAATACCAGAGGTAATGGTAGTGGGCGAAAGTTACTTTTAATTTTATAAGAGTTTGATAATATCTGATATGGCACCTTGCCCCTCAGCCACCATGGTGGAGTAGTAAAATTCCCATATCTAGCTAGAAAGCATGAGTGATCGCCTACACTATGGCATTAATTTCGACCGCTTCCGGATGAGTTGTGAGTGTCCGAAATAGGCCATTGGGGTGGGGCCAATCTTCGTCGCCAAGATGGTACAAACTCGAAACTCTCGAACCCCGATGTATACCCGCGCAGGCAACACGGCGCACCGGAAGGGCGGCAAGATTGCTACCAATGTATGTCGAAAGCCCGGCGCAAAAGCTTATTCCTCTCTCTCCTCCCCCTAAAAAGAGCCAAGGGGATTTTCGCAATCGCGGCTGGATCTCGTAGAGGTTGTCATAGCATGGCCCAACTTCTAATAACTCGGTATGATATCACGCCCTTCCACTGATTGGGTTCCTGAGTTATTAGACTACCGTAGGGCATTTCGCTCCCTCGCAATGGGCCTGGTCTATCGCCAGCGATTCCTCGTAGAATCGTGTCGGGGTTATGTCAGTTCCGGGGGTATGTCGGAATAAGACATATACGAGTACAATCTGTGTAGAAACTAGAATCAGCATTAGACATCATTCTTTTCAAACACAATAGTCGAGAGATTCGAGTCAGCACTAGAACACACTTCCCCCGCGTATGCGCGATCCCGACACAACTCCCGAGAAGACATAGCCCCCGACACGATTCTACGGTACTAGGTGAAGCAAGGGAGTACGTATCCATCTTGCTCGGCATAGCCCTAGTCCAACATGCTGACCGAAGCAATTAGAAATCTAGCACTTCATACTTGATACCACTACTAAACCTTTAAACCGACGAGAATCTACCGGAGGGGAAAACAGATCACACAAAGGATGCCTCACACTCTCGCACAATGACGTCACCCCATTCAGTCTACTTTATTATCCTAGTAATGGTGTCACCGAACCAGTACTGTACGATACACAAGACTTCACCGGACCCGCCGCATAGCTGATGAGTATTTCAATTCCCGTCCCCGATATCCATTAGCATGACTTTGGCTATCCTTTCCTATAAAGGCGCCGGGGGTACTACAAGCTGGAGTAGTGAGAATTGGGTGGCACCTAGGTTTACGTGTCGTGCTGATGGGGCGTGGGTACAAGCGGTCTAATAGAAGAAACATCTACTGCAAAAAAATGCATCCAAATGTATAGCCTGCTACCCCCCGATCTGATCAGTCTTATTGCTGGCAGCGAAGCCAAGCGGGTGCCGGCAGATTATTCGTGGGCACCCGCTCCTGCATCTAGTGGCAAACGGAAACTAACTTGTAAATAGTGTGATTATTAAACAGCTACATAAGGCCGACTCGGCACATGAGATTCAGATCAGATACCCCTCAGATAGCCCCACACCGTTTATCGCCCGCACCTATCATATATTAAGGTAATCTAACTTTTATGCAACCAAGACTTGGTTACTAGGAATCCTCCAGCTTCCCCAGCGAGTTTTTCCCACCACAACCGCATTACTCGAGTACTCGTACAGGTACGCCGGCCCACCGTCCCGCAACCGAAACTGACCCTAGCACTGGGTAAGTTATCATACCTCGCCTAAGTAGGCTAACTAGGTATAACCTTGTTTAATCAGGGACGAGACTCTTATCCACATTCTATGAGGGTTAAAACTCTAAGGTTTTTTAAGGGCCCACCACGGATACAACCGTTCTGTTCCGCTGCCACATACAAAGTGACCCTTTCAAAACGCAAGAACGAGTGATTTTATATGGGAAACGGTTGCAGAACGGAACGGAACGGTTGTATCCAAACAGACCCCCAATATAATATCTGTCTCCATTTAGAGAGATAGGGGAGCAGCAGGAAGGAAAGGGAGTGCCAATTGCATATGTAACAACTGAACCGTCAACCACCTTTTTTTTTCTGGGTAATTGAGCGTAAGAATCATGTTCTCCAACATTTCAGGACGGGTTGCTGCCGTCTTGAATACTAATCGGGGGTGACGAGTAGAATGGCCGAAGCTCTGTAAGCACACAAGAGTAAACATGTCGTCCTCATTTACTCTGGCAGAATCTAGCCCCACCCCCACGCTTGTAACGCGTCTATACCATATTAATTGCACCACGGAATGATGGGGGGATTACTTGGCTCCCCAAAAGCGTTGCAGAAAGCATGTGGGGAGTTTTGTCATGAATCACCGCATCAGATATCTGCATGACCACGGGATTTTCGCCGTCTGCCCTTCCCCCATTGAGCCGATACCGACTTCTGATAGTTCCTGATATTCCTCGCTACAAAAGATTCGGTTGCCCCTCTCCCAGTTCTTCTCCTCACAGTTCGCCCTCTCTTCATCTTCGCATCCTACATCCACCATGTCCCCAAAGTACTATCTTCTCCCTCTATTTCTTAGGCTCGTTGCGGTAATGTCTGCTCCGGCCCCGCCCCTTTCACAGGCTGCTACCAAGACATATGCAGTCTCGGGGGATCTCCGAGGGCCCACGTCCCTACGGGGGTATGACCCGGAGCTTCCATTTGCAACGGAGAGCGCAAACCGAGCGCCAGTGCAGCTTGCACCTGGGCAAGATGAAGATGATCCGGAGGGTCGTATTCTAAACTTTGAGAATGTTACCGAACCGCAGCCATTGAGAGGTACCCGCGGTGGTACAATTGCCAGCAATCATGATGTCGAGCTCGAGAAGTTACACCCAGACTCCTTCGCACCACCGACAACAGATCATGGTGCTGTCAAACAGGCGGAGTGGCCTCTTGGGTTGAGCCATGTCAAGCTCGGATTGGAGAGAGCTGGATGGAGTCGACAGCAGAACATCAATGTGCTACCTTCTGCCACAGAAATGGCCGGCGTCAACATGAGACTTGAGGCAGGAGGATACCGTGAATTACACTGCAAGTCACGCCATGTCATTCTGATGAAATAAGCCATTGAAACTGATACCCTATAGGGCATACTGCTGGAGAGTGGGCCCTGATGTTGAATGGATCAGCTAGAATCCAGGCTATGAATGTCGACGGTCAGACATTCATCGATGATGTCACCAAGGGAGATGTTTGGTTCTTTCCTAGGTATGTTTCTATTGGTCCCAGAACTAGATTCGTGCATAAATAGTCAACATGAGTCTAGTGGTGTACCCCACTCCATTCAAGGCCTCGAGAACGGAACCGAGTTCTTGTTGGTCTTCGACGACGGCGAATTCTCTGAGGATAGCACCTTCCTTGTCTCCGAGACATTTGCACTCAATCCTGTTAGTATCCGGCCATCTAGCATAACTCGCATTGAGCTAACGAATCGCGTAGAAAGAGGTCCTTACCAAGAACTTCCAGCTTCCCGAAAGAGCCTTCGACGATATCCCAGAGGGCGAGCTATTCATTTTCCCGGGCACCGAAGCACCGGAAGATATCAAGAAGCAAAATGTCACCGGCCCAGCTGGTATCATTCCCAACAAGGAAAGCTACTCTTACCACTGGTCCCTGCAAAAGCCGATCAAGGCGCCCGGGGGAACCGTCAAGATCCTCGACTCCAATACATTCCCCATTGCTGAGAATTTCGCTGCTGCCCTCGTAACCATCAAGCCCGGAGCCATTCGTGAGATTCATTGGCACCCGGACTCGGATGAATGGTCATATTTCTTGTCTGGAACTGCGCGCCTCACAATCTACGCAGCCCAAGGGAACTCCCGAACCTTCGATTTCAGGACGGGTGACGTTGGATACATCCCCAAGAGTCAGACTCATTACATCGAAAATACCGGAACCGAAGACGTCATTGTCCTAGAGGTCCTCCAGGCAAAGAGGTTCACCGGTAAGGAGTTAACTGGCCGTTGAAATCTTTGAGGTCGACCCTAATAACCCCCGTGAATTTAGACTTTAGTGTCGGTCAATGGCTCGCTCTCACTCCACCCCAGGTTGTCCAAGACACACTACACCTCAGCGACGAGTCCATATCCCAGCTTTCCAAGGACAAGCCATTTATCGTAGATGGACCCATACCGGAATAATTGGGGTATCTGAGCGGTGTCTTCCCGTTTTTTTTTTTGAGGAATCTCTATAAACTCTGATCATTATTTTGTCCGTACGACTATGCCAGACCTTATATTCCTTCCCATAATTATCTTTTCCCTTCCCTTTGAGAGCCCGGGGTGAGGATTTGCTATCGTGTGCATGTATTTATCCAAGGTCTGCTATGCGCGAGACATGCTTAGTTACCCACCGTATCCTATCTTCATTCATGATTGGCTTTCAGTAATCACGCCTCCGTGCCAAGAATTGGAGTCCCCTTGCAACAGATACTACAGACCAAAGACAGGGTAAACGGTTGCCGACTCGGTGCGGAGACACAAGGACGAGCACTCGAGTACAGAGGGCACAATCTGATCCCATAGTTCGCTGGTTCCAAAACAGGCTCTTACCCCATTGAGGCATTTTCCGCTCCGATTGATCCCAGATGGTAGCCGAGAATACGGTACTCTAGCCCAGCTGAGCGGAGATCTGGATGCACAAGCTGGAGAGTAACGAGGAAGGATAGCGGTAATGTTCAAAGAAGCTTGAATTTCCTAAGATACAACACCGTAAGAGCTCTTGGTTACCCGCTAAATATCTCCGGATGCGGGGGGAAAGGCTCAAGATGGATGGCTTGCTACATCATAAATTTATCATACGAGTAAAAGCATACAAATACCTTGACGCCAAGACAGGATTCAAGCAATGCAAAGTCGCCCGGGTCCCTGATGAGGTATGGCCCATGAGCCAGTGGGGTACCTAGGGTCTCATTGACAGGTTTTTCTCGTTTCCGCGAACTTGCTAAACTAAACCTACCGTGGCCTGATGCACCGATTTCCACTGATACGAGTACAAGTACAGTACAGTACAGATGCCAAGGTGTTCGAGAGCGAATTGAGGGCTTTTAGTTCGCACAATTCCTCAGCTCTCTTTCTCGATACCCTACGAGTACTCGAGTACTCGAGTATGATACAGCAGAGTGACGAGCACACGATTATTGGCACTAATCAAGACTACAAGGGTTAGGGCGCCCCACGGCTCGCAAAGGGACCCCAGACAGGATAGAGTGGGAAACAGATACGCGAGAAGATCTCGGTTGAGATGGCGTAGCAAGGGAAGGCGCCCCCTCCCCCAGAGATATCTAAGATGATCGGGAGCTCGGATGATTGTAGTGCGTCATGAGAAATTTCCGGCACGAGTCGACTACGATACCGGTATGTGACAGCCTGTTTAGGTTACTGGTAGCCTCCTAGCATCATGCACAAGTGGTTGAATTTACCTTCACGCCAGGAACAGGTACTCGCACTCGAGTATAGTGTGTGAGTGAGTGAGAGAATATGAACGCGAATGCCAATGCGAAAAAATGGGAGGTAGGCTGTTGCTTAGAGAGAAACCATGGTATACAGTACTATCTTGAGAACCCATTACCTGGATGGAGTTCACTGGTCTCCCATCGCAGTTGGCAACTTCTTAATAGCCATGTTTTAGTTATTGTGTGCTGGGAATGGCTGCCATGCGTATGGCACATCTGTTACCGTAGATGTGATAGTAATAGTGAAAGTAAATTCTGAAGAGAAAAAAAATTCAACATGATACTCGCATGCACCTAGATCTTCACACATGGCATACCCCCTCTACACCCAGAAGTTAGATGCCCTCCTCCCTCGGACTGCCTACGATTCGCCCGGTAAATACCCCCAGAAGAGACCTTGCTTTCCATCACGTGCTGTAGAATACACGTATTCTGTCTCAGTTGGAAAGGAAATTATGATACTACGGTACTATTTTTTAAAAGAGACCGAGTCACGGCCGCATTGAAATAAAATACCCCCCCCCCTCCCTCGCCCAATATCGGCACATCCATAGGTCTGGCCAACGCTTTCCCACCCCCCCCGCACAGAAGTCTTTCATTCTATACGTACTTGAATAGATATCATACGCCGTCTCTTTGTGAATCATCCGTCGTATAAGGGTTTGAACTATTACCTGTATTTCCAGTTGGGCTCCCTTCCCTTCATCCCCTTCCATTTTCAAGTGGGCGAAGGCTACCTTGTCTTGTCCATCGCTTCATTTGTTAATCCGATAGTTGTTCTCTTTGACTAGCCCCTTCTTCCTTCCCTCACTCTAGCCTCTAATCCGCGCTCCCATTCCCACTCCCACTCCCACTCCTCCTCCTCCTCCTCGCAGTATCTCTTGGAAGAAGAGTCTGCCATAGTCTAGCCTTGACAACTGTAACTCGAGAGGAAAACAATGGATCACCAATTCCACTTCAAAACTGGCGCCCCCCACTTGACCCCACATACATATCCCTACTCCCATCCCCACGCCAGTGTCCACCGCGGCTCCGGACAACACAAGCATGTATCACCCCGAGACTAGCACCCCTCACACGTACAAGCGGAAGAAGTTGATCTTGTGCTTCGACGGTACGGGGAATAAATTCAAGGGGAGCGGAGGGGACACGAATATCTTGAAGATATTCAGGATGTTGGATCGGGAGGGGAGCGATCAGTGTATGTCGTCTCATTATCACAGTTGGACTTATCTATATATATAAGTGTTCGGTAATTTGGAAAAAAGCAAGGGGAATATATGCTGACTTAATGATCGCGTGGTTCTCGGGTCGGTTTGGATGGTGTGAGGTAGTTCATTATTACCAACGTAAGTGGGACTAATAAAAATAATCGAAGTCCAGAGTAGTAAATTAACAATCACCGTTGTGGGGGGGGGGGTAGGTCCGCCGTCACAGACTATCACTCGACCGAAATAGAACGCCAAGGCTTTCGGGCGGCAATCAATGAAGAGGGGTATGAAAAATTTTCTCTCTCTGATTCTCTCTCCTCCTAACAACCCACTCATCAACTCGCTTGCTCAACTCTCTCTTGTCCGCGACACTAACTAAACAGGAAAAAACAGGAGTATAAATAAACGACAACGATCAGCTATCCTTCCTCTCCTCCATTCCCCTTAGCGTTATCTCTCACACCCCCCACTCCATACCCTCTCATGTGCTCGCGTGCTAACAAAAGAAAGACAAACAACAGGCTCCCCAAGAACTCTCCAATATCCTTCCGCGCCTCCCCGCTATCTCCCGCGCTCCCCCGCTAACAAAGGAAATACAGGAACAAAGACCGCGACTCCTGACGGCCACAACTACCCCGACGGCCACAACTACCCCGACGTTCGCATCCTTCCCCGCCGGAAGCGCATAACGAGAACGTCCGCCACAACAAATGGAAGTGGCGGGGGGGTGGGGGAGACAAACAGACGGGAACGAACAAACGAATGAACAAATCAACGGACGGACGAATGGACGGACGGGTGGATGAATGATGGGTGGTGGTGTGAACGGCATGCCGAGCATGCTTGGGACATGTCGTACATGTTGCAAACATGTCAGACAGGTTCTGAGCATGTTGGGTAGTAGTCGTAGTAGTTGTAGTCGTGGCAGTCATGATAGCTGTTGGCATGGCGAGCAGCTATTTCCAACAGGGACTACCTCACTCTTTCTTTCCCTCTCTATTTTTCTTTTCTTTCGGCCAAGTTTTACACAATTGCTGTTGCAGAGAATGTTAACGATATGATGCGAGATAGCCGGAATAGGCACATACATCACCAACGGGACGTTATCGCGGGTGCACGTTGGATCAGGGCTTAAATCCTGGTATCGAAAAGCCCTAGACGCAGCTGTTGGGCATGGAAAATCCGCAACACTTGTGATATCGAGATACCGGGGAAAAGGCTAACACGGGGGGGAAATTATGAAACACCGGCAGTACATCATTCGATCAACATGTGATAGGTGGGTACAAGTTCCTAATGCGCTTCTACGCGCCAGGAGACGACATATACCTATTCGGGTTCTCGCGCGGGGCCTACACTGCGAGTTTTCTGGCGGAAATGCTGGACCATGTCGGGCTCGTCTCGCAAGGGAACGAGGAGATGGTTATGTTCGCCTGGAAGACCTTCTCAAATTGGCAGCAGAGGAAGGAGGGGGTGGGGTGGGGTGCTCGGGAGCAGGATATGTACAAATGTGTTGTTCATCCAAAGTGGCTAGCAAGCAGGTGATATTTTGTGCGATTTATTGACCACGCCCCGGGGAATAGCTACAAGCGGATTCCGGGAAACTTTCGCCAGACCGGTGCGCAGAGTCCAATTTTTGGGACTATTCGACACTGTGAATTCGATTCCTAGATTTGAGAACGCATGACTGAAGAGGTCTGCTGGGTTTTCTTATACCGCTAGAAGTGCTCCATTCCCCCACCCCATGACACATTGAACCCCGCACTAACAGGTAAATAGGTACCGCCCGAGTAATCCGGCATGCAGTTGGCATCGACGAACGCCGCGCTAAATTCCGCCAAGACCTCGTCGAAAAAGTCGACTTGCAAGAACTAGCCCGCCGCCGTTCTTTCGGGACAGGACATCTGATAGAGTCCGCCCTAGGCCACCGCCCCGCCTCCAAATCAAAATCGAACAAGAATAATAAAAACGGCCACCCCTGCCAAAACGGCAATTCCGCCAAGGCTGGTCCGAAGTTACAGCGATTCTCGGGGAGTCGAGAGGAGTTGAACATCGCCGGCAACGGCGGCGACAGCGCAAGTTTTATGAGTTTGAACATCCACGTTGAGAGCGACGAGGACGACGAGGACGAGAAGGCCGAGCAGGATATCGAGGAGGTTTGGTTCCCTGGTGCGCACGGTGTTATCGGTGGTGGGTGGGATCTACCCGACGGGGAGGAACCGTTGTCGCATGGGCCGTTAGTCTGGATGGTTAGTCTCCTCTCGCCCCCTCCTTCAGACCGGGTGATAAACCGTGACCAATCGAATTTAATAATAGGTCCGCGAAGCCCGCAAAGCCGGCGTGGTATTCGACAAAGAGCGCATGAAGCAAATGAAAGTCTGGTTAGACGAGTTCGAAGCCAACGAGCTGGCCCCTGAAACATCCGAGACCTCGACAGATCCTGTGCTAATTGGCGACGGGATACTTAAGATTGAGGTATCGTCAACCACTTCCTCGGCGGATAACCCGACGCAAACGCTCCAGCAACCGGAGCAGGAGCAGAGCGCGAATTCTGCCCCAATCTCCACCCACATCGCACACGCCGGCTCCCACTCCTCCGCCCGCACCCCGGCATCGGACCCAACCCCAGCACAAGCGGCAGATCCGAAGACCTACCTGCTAAACTCCTACACCCGCGGTAAAATCCACGACTGTCTTCGTTACCCCTCCTGTGGCCTCTCCCTAGCCGGAACCTACGGCTGGAAATTAATGGAGTACCTCCCCTTTCGCAGGATGGACTTGCAACCCGACGGGTCCCGGAAGCCCATTATCTGGCCGCTGCCCTGCGGCGAGGTCCGTGACATCCCCGATACCGTCAAGACACACAACAGCGTGATCAGGAGAATAAAGGCGGATCCAAAGTATCGCCCGGGAAATCTGATCATCGGAGGGGGTGGGAGGGGGGTGAGAAGGGCACCGAAAAACGCCGGGATTGGTGAGTGGGAGGTGTTGAGGGAGGGGGGAAGTCTGGTCGGCGAGGTGCTTGTCAAGAAGGGGGCTGAGGAGAAGGGGTTGGTTGGGGGGTCTTGAATAGATTATATGTGAAGATCACCGGTAAGTCTGAGGGAGGCTAAGTGGACAGGTGGATGAGGGGCGAATAAAGGATGGGTGGTACTATACGTATTTGGTGTATGTAAATGTATTTTATTGAGCGATCACGATATTGTATCAGATTACCACCATACCATTTTACCAGCCGTGGCGGAATAAATGGGTAAATTAATCGCAATGGGTGACCACCCATGACCCGGAGAGAGAAAAGGTTGTCGACCCGGGCGGCCCCTATATGGTGATATCCTAAGCGAATTCGAAGCATTTCAAGCAAACACAACTGCCCATCACTCCACAACAACACGCACAACACCTGGCGAGCGAGCGAACGATGCAAACAAGCAAGCGGTCGCATGAATCCGGGAAACAAAATAATCGCGTGGGTCAAGATCTTAAGCGGTGAAAGTAACATACATGACGAACCTAACCAAACCCAATCCATTTCATAAACAAAGCCATATCATCAAAACAATAGGAAACTCCACTACCACTAATGCATTCCACCCAACTCATGTGGCAACGGTCCTTGATTCTGCTGCTGCTGCTGCGGCGGCGGCGGCGGCGGCGGCGGCTGGAACTGATGATGTTGTTGCTGCGGTTGTTGTTGTTGTTGGTGCTGACGTTGCTGTTGTTGTAACTGGTGAACCTGCTGTTGCTGCAGATGGTTCTGATGTTGGTGCTGCATCACGGCGGCCTGCTGTGGCATCGTCGGTGCCACGGGCGGTGGCACGTAAGGACTATACGGACTGATTGGTGATCCGACCTGAGGTGGATAAGTCGGGGAATTCATGGGCTGGTACTGTGGCAGAGAGGTCTGTCCCCCATAGTATCCAGCCGCATCGTTCATCATAGGTTTCGACACCCCATACGTTCCCCCTACCGCCGCTACCCGTCCGGCGCCGGCGCCGCCATACATGGCATTCTGCGCAACGGCGTCAACAGCCCCAGCCCTCCCACTGCGATTCTGGTACAGGACGACGCCGTCCCAAATAATCGCGCCGATGAACGTCAACATTTCCAAGACCAGTATGGCGAATAGGCCCCTCAGCTTGTCGCAGTCCTCGATCACCCACAAGTACGTGTCCCAGTCCCATAGCGAGAAGGTGTAGAAGGCGCAGGACCCGCCGATGGCTTCAGGGTTGTAATCTGCGATTGTGGCGATCGAGATGATGTAGAATATTGCTATGAGTACGTCTACGATTATCACGACTAATGGGAGGAGGTTGCCCGTGAAGAAGAGGCCTAGGACTAGGGGGATCCAGACAACGGTTAAGCAGATAGTGGTGAGGGTGAAGGCTGCATACCTATTTTTGCGGTTAGGTATTGTTCTGTTTTATGAGGCGTGAGGGTGGGGGGGGTTACCATGCGACAGGGTATTTAGCTATGAAGAAAGCGGCCAGTCCTAGCGCAATCACAGCCAGCACAAGCTGTGATATGCGCAGGATCAGAAGAGCAACGGCATTCCAGCGCTTATCCCTCATCGCTGGACGAGGGACTCTTCCTTTTTTTTTTTTTCTTTCTTTTCTTCTCTTTATGATACCAAAGAATTAGCTTCCGGAAATGCAGGTGGAGTGGTATGGGATGGGAGGGCAGAAGAATGAGAGTGAACTGAAGAAAAGGGAGGAAGGGGGGGAAGTTGGGCAGGAGGGGAAGAAAGAATAGAGAGGGGCTGTGAAAAGCACAAAAATCGGGTCGCGCTGGGATGGAAGGGCAGGGAGAAATTTGGTACTTGTACTTGAGTACCGTATTTGTACTAGTACTTGTATTAGTGTAGCATTCGTACAAGGTCCTCCAAGAGGTTATAGAATAGTTACTTGAGGTTAAGTTGCCAAATATACCCTTGTGGGTACGGTTAATAGGTCTCTCGCTTGGTGGAGTACTCAGTTCACACCAAGAATAACGTACGGCATATCCCGATTATGGATAGAAGAAGGATGGGTGCTTTTGTGGACTCCTGCTGCTCAGCCCCAAATGTTGGGAATTGGGAGTTTCACCCATATCACAACGCGAGACCCTTGGAAAACCGCCCCGCACGAGCACGGGTGCCAGTCCCAGAGTGCCGTATCGTACTCGTACAGTACTCGAGTACAAGTATGATACCGGTACGAGTACGGTACTCGAGTATGGGTGTACTCGTAAAGTGCTTAAAGCCTGTGCCTGTCGTGTTCCAACAAGTGAATGCCCCGCTGTCCGTAGGCGCCGAACGAGGCCATGAAGGCCTGCGTGAAACAAATTCGACCCACTGCGCTAGTACCCATTAGGTGTTCTCGCTAAGATTTGCTCAAGAGATCCTCTCGGTCCACTCTTTCTGGAGTTCCTTTGCAGTGACAAATAGTCTAAATATTCATACTGGGTTATGGACAAAATGCGGTTTAAAGACCAGGAGTTCGATTTTCCAACCTAGGCGATTTCCTTCAATTTCCTCAAGTGCAATGTACCACACGAGTGACGCAGGCTTGGTACACGCTTTGAGCGCTTCGCACCATACATTTACTCGTACGAGTGCTCAAGTAGGTTGTATCGGGGGGTTGTGGGTACGGTAGGGTAAGTCTGTCGAACTTCCTCTGATACCGGCAGGCTCCAAGGCAGTCTCGACCATACAGAGAACAGTATTACTGGCACCGCTATTTTCTCCAGCCTTTTTTTCCCTTCACCAAAAATTAGCGTACTGTAGGGTAGTGCATAATTTGCGTTACACACCTAATTTCGACCAATCAGAGCCGAGCTGGGCCGAGTTTTGCCCAGACCCTTGGTACTGCGCGGTTGCAGGAATCAACAAGGTTTGGCAGGTGCGCGAGTAAGTTAATTTACCGTGGTGTAGAGTACGAGTAGGCGTGAGTGCCATGGCTGCACATTTTCTGGGCCGAATTTTCATTGGACGATGAAGCTAGGAGTACACCACCACCATTGAAGCTGAAAGTGGACTGGGAAAGAGGGGTAGTCTATGACCGCACTTTACGCCTTAGCTCATAAGTGGTGGTGGGTATCCCAGTGCAGGAATGATATCCCGGTGGCAGTCTTGGCTGTGGGCAGAGAACGGCGTCCGAATGGCTTCATGTATGATAACGAGTAACTTATGATGTTTGCTCGCTTGTAGGGGGTATGCGCAACGGGAATCACTATTAAACCACAGTAGGCTTTAGCACAGTACCGGTAGGTTAACAGAGTTGCGAATACCAATTAATGAGATTGCCCAAGCTATCTCGTCGGAAAAACAACTAATTTACCGGTCCTGGTATTCCTTCTCGGGCTGTTTTTGTCTCTGGTTGCTGAGATCAGAGTGAAAATGCTGAGTTGAACCCTGCGCCAAGAGACCAAACTAGGATAGCGTGCCAAGGAGTGTTGCGCAGTATCAGTTTCAGATTTTGCTCGAGCAGGCGATCATCTCAAGATGCATCTATTCATTAATTCAGCTTACCGATACCCTCCTCAAGGTCAGCCTCAAAAATGCCCAATTAACCCCCCCTGCCTCCTCCTGTCTGTTGGGCCCTCGAGTATATAGATAAACTTTATCAATTCCTTTAACATATTGTAGGCCACGGGGAGTCAAAATACACGGTGGCGGGAAAAAATAAACGGTATGATAACTTAGTGGATTTTGGTTACTAAGCATACTGTCGACGACCGCCGTTTTGTGTCATGCGTTTAGACCTGCCCTTACTAACATAAATTCCCCCAATTATGATATAGTACTACAATCATTAACCACTCCAGTGCCTCTCCAGCTGATCAAGTCGTAAGCTCTCTTTGGCATATCATGTCTTCCACAAACATTTCTCCCACTAATGGTCATTACTCTTCCTTTATATCTATACTTGCATTAGCCGAGTTTTTGCACATTTTCTCCTTTTTAGAGAAAAGTCTGGGCGGAGAGCTGGACCATTATATCCCTAGACAAGGCAATAGAGGCGCTTCAATCATCATCACTCCCTTTGCTTTTACCGACTCCAGCTCGGGGAGCTATAACCGAAAAAGCACAGGTTCCAATCCAAAGGAAGGCGTAATACAAGGCACCAAAACAGGAGTAGCATGCCCAATCCTTCAATAAAGTCTATTGTATCGTGGTCGACCGCGGGAAGACCGCCGACCCGGCATATACGCCTCCCCCCCCACCCCAGGGCATTACGTCCAAGAGGTAAGCCTATCATAGTACATCTGGAAGGTATGATACCACCTGCCCACCCCGTGGCATCTGACGTCTTCTAAAGTCTCCGGAATGTGAGCTAGGTATCCGTGGCCAAGGTTACGGTAGTTGCCGCAAACTATAGTGCCATGAATTATCGTAGGTGAATCACTTATTTGTTTCCCATGCCGGGGACTTTGACAAACCTCGAGGATTGGACTGCCGAGGCGTCCGCTGGACGACGGCAATGGCAACAAATTTTTGCGCTTCTAGACTGACCAAAGTGTAGCGGGCGAGAGGTACCCGAAAACTGGGGCTCACAAAATATGCAGCGAAAAATCCGTGAGTATTTGAACCCCCATACAATACAAGCGCTCTAAGAACTGAGATACAGGCACCGATGCTAGGATGTTGGAGTTGCCTCTCCTAGTATGGTCTGGTGTTCCCCTTTGCTTTTATCTGGGGGGAAAGCTGGTGATTTGTCTGTTTTTGGCACCTTTTCCAAGGGGGAGATTTTAGATAACTTGGCACGTGCTCCGCCTATACGAGCTGTTGTGGTAATGTTGGGGCGAATCTGGGGAAAGATATGTCATGATAGGGGAGTGGGACCGGCAGGGATCGAGTTTAAGCTCTTGGTGCTTCTTGAAGGTAGGTTCATTGGAGAAAGAGAAGCTAGAAGAGGAAGAAAGCGACGCCTTTCGCTTGATATCATAATTTAATCCGACTGCACCCATCTGGCTCCGCTGCGACACCCCGATAGGCTAGTACTATACGTGCGAGGATGATCACAGGACATCACTCGTGGCTACCCATTTTTGGAACGATATGGATGACACCAACAATTCTGGCGGCCTCGACAAGCTCACAACACATCGACAAGTAAGCAAACAATAACCGCTATCTTGAATCTACGAGACCGAGTGACTGTATTGATTAAGAACTTGAAGCAAAATAGATGAACGACCCAACCAAACCCGATCCCTTTCATGAACAAAGTCCTGCTGTCACAATAGAAGGAGACTCCACTAATACGTTGAACATAACTCCTGCGGCGGTTCTCGATTCTGCTGATACTGCTGATTCTGATGCTGAGACTGCAGTTGGTATTGCTGCGGCTGCCAATCCTGATAAATCTGGTGAAGGTGCTGCTGCTGAAGGTGATTCTGATCTTGGCAGCGATTCTGGCATTCACGATGCTGCGCTATGAAGCACTGCTGTGGCATCGCTAGGGGGAAGTGCGGTTGCATGTGAGAATTGAGCGGAGTAGCTGGTGACGCGATCTGAGCTGGGTAAATCGGGGAATTCGCCGGCTGGTACAGTGATAGAGAGGCCTGTTCCCCGTGGGTTCCACATGCACCACGACCACCACTCTCCAGGATCGTTACTCGTATAGGTCCCGAAATCCAGTATGTTTTCCCTATCCAGGCCATCTGCCCACCATCGGCACCGCCACCGTGCCTAGCGCTTTGCGCAGCGGCTCGAGCATCATTGGGCCCCCCATTGCGGTTCTGGTACAGGACTTTCCCATCCCAGATAATCGCTCCGGTAAACGTCAACATCTGTATGACCAAAACGGTGAATCCGGCCTTCACAGTGGCGCAGCCCCTAATCATCATTCGGTCCGTGCTCTGCCCCGAGGGCGTACAGGAGTCACTACTGCCGTTGGGGCCGTACTCTGCGATTGTGGCGATTGGGACAATGTAGGATACTGCTAGGATCAAATCCACAGTTACCGCGAGTAATGGGGGGAGTTTGTTCGTGAAGAAGAGACTTAGGACTACGACCACCCAGGATAGCGTGAAAGCGCTGACTACGATGGTGTAGGATATGCACCTATTTTCATAGTTAGATATTGATTTGTTTGATCTGGCGCGAGGACAGAGGGGGGGATACCAGTCATCGTATTTAGAAGCGAAATAAGCGGACCCTCCCAGCACAACTATCCCTAGCGCGAGCTGTAACATGCGAAGGAGGACAAAGGCAGTGGTATTCCAGCGGTTGTCCCTCATTGGTAGAGGAGGTGATCTTTTCTTGTTTGTTTCCCCTTTTATAATATCAAAGGATAAGTTTCAGTAATGTGAGCTTCTCCAAGGAAGGAATATGGGATGGGAGGAAGAGGTGGAAAGGTTGAAAAGAACAGAAGGGAGGAAGTTAGGGCGGACGCAGGCGAGCGAAGAAGGGAAGGCTACGGAAGGCACAGGATAGGGTAGCCATCGTGAACCGGCGCTCTATCATAGTAGGGATGACATACGGCATATTCCAAAGGCGATAGAAAGAGAAGAAGGATGGTTGTAGGAGTGGACTATTGCTGGTCGGTGCTTGATGTTGGGACTCCCCCCTGTACAGTACATCACGATGCGAGACTAAGAGGAAACTCCCTAGGTTACTTGTGCAAGTACCGGTATCACACTCTTAAACCTACACCCGTCTACGCAATGTAACTGGTTTTCCTATCGGCATCTGGTGGAGAAAGTGAGTGGTCCTGGTTGAGTTGGAAA